GTGGCAGCGTTAGAAAGGATCCTCCTAGCAAATGAGAACGCAGACCGGGATGATTTGATCTTCGTGACAACAAACGCTAAAGGCGTAAAAGCCCTGACAAAGTCGCGGTTTTTGAAATTGGCAGGAGATAGTTGGGGTAAAGCAGGCCTGAATTCTTGGTCGGGTCATTCTTTCAGAGTAGGAGGGGCATCAATACGGTACAACCTGGGTACCCCAATGGAAAAGATAGCAAGGCAGAGAAGATGGAACTCTCTGACTTACCTGCGTTATCTAAAAGCCTACTCAGAGGAGGACAAAGAAGATACAAAGAAGTTCCTACAATTAATAGATGAGAGAAGATGAATTAAAACAGGTGTTAAGGTTTAGGAAATCAAGTGAAATACAGACATCATACCATGCGCAGAGACGCCTCCAAAGGATTGCCAATTGAGTTCACCGAACTCTACTTGAGTAATTGGTCCAGGCTTCATCGAGGTAGGTGAGCTTGGGTGGCTAGGCGACGAGCCGAGGACCGGTACGCCTAGTGGTGGGGCCCGGAGCTCACATTTGTACCAAGCCCGGATTTGTCAACTCGGAGGGTGGGTGGGTTGAAGGCACAAGGCCGGCTGGGCGTTTGGTTCTCGAGAACCAAACCGAAGGCAGGGCTCCGCCACTCCCCCATCACAACCTCTCTGACACACACGTAAGAGAGGTCAATGTGGGTGAAGGGTTCAACTCATGAACAGATCCCATAGATACAACTCAGTCAATAGCACCATAGCTAACTGAGGAGTGGGTTAATAGAACCACAAGGCACGCAGTGGTTCTCAAGCCCACGGTGCCTTAGCAGAGGAGAGGGCGGGCACGCAAACGCCCGCCCAATGCACAAGATTGGACCAAGTTGACTTTGGGAAAATTTTCCCTCCAAAATCCCAAACTCAAACTCTCATCTCGCTAAGCATATTTCAAGAATTGCTAATCGGATTCAGTTGATTACAACTCAATTCTAAATTTAATCTCAGCATAAATTTCAAAAACCTCCCCCCCACCCGTTCATCAAAACCATAAAGGTTGGCAGAAAGACAAGTGTGGTGTCAAATGCAGGAAACGCCTGTAGAAACTTGAGGACAAGAAAGATATTTAAAGTCGACGGGAATAGTAATTCCGTAGATGTCGGAAAGAGTTTATAGAGAGTTGAATCCCACCCACCAACCCAGGGCGCGAGGCCGGCCGGGCGTTTGGTTCTCAAGAACCAACCCAAAGGCAGGGCTCCGCCACTCCCCCATCACAACCTCTCTGACACACACGTAAGAGAGGTCAATGTGGGTGAAGGGTTCAACTCATGAACAGATCCCATAGATACAACTCAGTCAATAGCACCATAGCTAACTGAGGAGTTGGCCAGTACAGGGTTTTTTGCCCTGTATTTGAGTATTTTCTGTAGTTTTGTCTTTGAATTTTGAATTTTGCACCCGGGAATTATGATTTTTTTTTCGATTTTTGCATTGTCACCTTGACACCTCTTGCATTCCGTAAGTTAGTTTGTTACTAGCATATCAGCGGCGGGCCTCCGCTTTCAAAGGTTTGAAGTACAAAAGGCATGCCAATACTAAGTTATCTAATACTCTCTCATTCTGATCGATGCTTGAAATCTTGTCATCAATAAAAGAATTGCCGTGTAGCATTGAGCAAGGATGTATCTCAAACCTTGTTTTGTACACCATTCCCAGATAATTGCACCCACTCTAGGTAGGCTAATACAGTCTCTGAAGTAGCTATTAACCATGAATAATTTTCTCTTACATGCTCAACCCATGAGGGTTAGTTTTACACATATTTCACCACCATTCTCAATATCCGCCCTCTTTCTCCCTTTGGTTGGAAACAGGAATCTGCACCAAACCATCCAAATGCTGAGAGTAATGCTACATCAGCATAAGATGTTCTTCTCGTTGAAATGATCATATATCCTCTGAAGACCAGCACTCACCTGGTCATATCAGTCAGCTTCATGTCATTGAATTGGCGCAACCAAAACATCAAAGCTCTACATCTCAATTCAAAGTGATCTCTCACCCTGAAGGATTGCTCCATTGGTTCCAAATTGAAATCAATTAGAATTCATAATTTTCTCAAACAACTTATTGCAGCTCACATGACTACATCATTTATTGAAAAATTGATACACTTGTGGGCTGGAATACATTATAAAGAGATATCCGCTAAATGGATCAACAATCAGGTCACAACTGTCATTTAATACAATTTCTTCAATTATTTTATTCATTTCCCCAAGATTTTTCATTTTTTTTTCAAATTGATGTCATCAAATAATCCAACATATAACTCAACTAAAAAAGAAATCAACATTGAAAACATACTAATGCACTCCCTTTTTGATTTCCTCCTATGATGAACAATTAATTTATTCAAAAATATAATAAATAATATACAATAACCATAGATTGATAAAAAAAATTGTTAACTACCACAACTGATTTTATTAAAAATTTGGAACCAAATTTGTGACATCAAAAACAAAACAAAGGAGGCAAAAAAGGATGTAAGGCAAAACATTATCATGTATTCAAAAATGAATGAAATAAAAAACAATTCAGTCTTTTTGTTACTTGGATTCCAGATAACCCATTTTCTGTGTGTCACATTATATGAAAGTTTTCTATGTATCATCATGTTGCTTCCAAATTCTTGAATTTTCTCAAATGGAAAATAAATCACAATTGAAAATTCAATCAAATCAAATCAAATCAAAGTCAATTTCACAAGAACTTATTTCAAAAAAGCCTAAAACCAAACCCAAACCCCATCCTTTCTGATTCCCCAAAGTTCATCTCCATTTTCCTTCTGTACCCTTTCAATATAATCTAAAATTGATCTATCCAATTTCAAATCAAATAATTTTCCTTTATCCAAAACCTTTTCATACAACTCTTTAAGCTTTCCAAAACACTTTTACTACTAAAGCTTGATTTATTTTTGAATCTTCATCATCTAAAACTGAAAAATTGAATCTTTCTTTACATTTAGTTGACATAGTTGAAAATAAATGATAAGCTAAATTAGCTATATATATTTAAAGGCCGTTGCTATTTGCAGCCCACAAGAAAACCATGTAGGCGCTGGCCAAATTACGCCTACATGGGTGTTTCCCACGAAGAAGCGCCTACATCTATGATGTAGGCGCTGGAAACCATCCAAAATGACGCCTACATGTTAAAAAACCCATGTAGGCGTCATTTGGTTACGCCTACATTCAAAAAATGAAATGTAGGCGCTATTTTCGAGCGCCTACATGGGAAATCCAATGTAGGCGCTCAAAATTTATGCCTACATCTTTAAAAATGAGCGCATACATTCAATTTTTGCGCTCAAATAAGCGCCTACATGCAGTCCTGCATATGTAGGGGCTACAAATCCGGCAACTACAACTCCAGACTGGTCTGAAGGGTAATGGAGAACAATTTTCAAGTCAAAATGAGAGTATTGGAAGACGGAAAAAGCAGTTTGGACTCAAAATGAGTGTATCGGAAGATGGATAAAGCAGTTTGGAGTCAAAATCAGTGTATCAGAAGACGGAAAAGTCACTCCAGAGTCAAAATGAGTGTATCAGAAGACGGAAAAAGTAGTAAATTATTTCAACTCTGAACTGCTATTTATGTCTTCTGATACGCTCACTTCAGAGTTGAAAAGAGCATATTCATCTTCCAATACGCTTAACTGATTTTTCCGTCTTCCAAAACACTCATTTCAACTCCAAGCTGCTTTTTCCATCTTCTGATACACTCATTTCAACTCTGAACTGCTTTTTCTGTCTTCCAATACTCTCATTTTAACTTGAAACTTCTTCTTCATTAGCCGTCAGACCAGTCTGGAGTTGTAGGTGTTGTGTTCGGAGCGCCTACATATGCAAGACTGCATGTAGGCGCTTATATGAGTTGAAAATTGAATGTAGGCGCTCAAAAATAGCGCCTACATTTCAAATTAGATATGTAGGTGCTCGAAAATTACACCTACATTCTGAAATTTTGAATGTAGGCGTAACCAAATGATGCCTACATGGGTTGTTTATCATGTAGGCGTCATTTTAGATGGTTTTCAGCGCCTACATCATAAATGTAGGCACTTTTTCGTGGGAAACACCCATGCAGGCGCTGTTTTGGCAGCGCCTACATGGTTTTCTTGTGGGCTGCAAATAGCAATGGCCTATTTAAATCAGCAAGCTTCTTGGTGTTTTAGGGAAAAAGAGAGACAAAAAATAAGAAGATTTTGCTTTCCCAATCTTCATAAGTCATATCATCTAACCAAGTAAACTCAGGTTCAAGTAAAGCTTTGATGTCACCCGCTTTAATGTCACCCACATAATTATCTATAGGTATCCAAGCACATTCTAAAACTTCTAACTCAATCTAACTCTGATCAGTTCAAATTGTTTTAAATTATTTGATTTGGTTTCGATCACTTTCAAATTGAATTTCTCTTTAGATTTTTTATCTTTTGATAATTAATTTGATGTCTTCAAGTTTTGATCCATACGATTTCAATTCCACTTTTTCATTCCTTTCAAACCTTTTCTTTGATTTCTTAATCAACTCATCTCTTTCAATTTTAATTCTACCTTTTTCATTTATCATTTCTTCTGATTCAACTCAATGACTCAATTAAGTTCTGTAATTGTATCATTTTGGAGTACCCTACCTCTCAATGGTTTTCTGAGTCGATTTGATCAGATGCTGTTTGTTCTTCCGTCCTGCTTTTCTCCCTTTGAGTTATTTCTTCTTCAGGTTTGAATTTTTCTTTTTCTTCTTCATCTTTTACCAAATGAAGAAAATCTGATTTTGAAAGCAAAAAATCAAGGATCAATTCAGGAAAATATGCTATGTTGAGTTGAGATCAGACCATTGATTTCTGTGTAATGAAAAAAGAAGCTTTGAAGCCGACCATCAATAATCAGCACGTACATCAACACTATTCTTTTGTGTTTTGGGCATTTTTGTCACTTCCTAGGCACGTGATGAGCCTCCATTCGATTCAAGAGGAGCCCTCTCCAGTGACTGGTCTTTTGGACTGTGGGTTCTGTATATCCGAACTTGCTGTTCCTTTTTGACGGCTCGTTCTTTTTCATCCGCGGTTGTTTGTTGTTCAATCAATGTTGAAGATTCCTGTCCGTTCGCTATGGCTGGTTCTTTACCTTGTTCATTGATCTTAAGAGCTTCTTTGATTACTGGTAAAGTAGGACGGAAAGTCGCCCAAATCACACCACAATCGTGACACTTGAGGACGTATTTGACCACCACACCCTTATCACCAAACAGTTCTGCTTGGCCTGAATTTGCATGTTGGACCTGGTCTTCGAATGACATAGGCTGAACCATTGTAGTTTTCTTTTGAAGACCGGCGCTGTCCCATACACGGAGGCTAAGGAAAATGATAAGAGAGTATGATCGGTTTTGAGAGATAGAATGACACACTTACGTTTGGTCCATTGAACAAGATAGGGTGTAGTTGTCTTCGGGATGACACTCGGCACACATAATGTAATGACTACAAATCGACAAACACAAATTCAATAACCAAAGAAGTCGCAAGTCTATGAGTGAGTTACTACTTACTCATGACCGGTCAAGGTAGCACTACATTGATGAGATTGCCAATTCCATATACAAATTGTCTGGTCATCAGAGGCAGAAGGGATCCATGGATGTTTACGATGAAATGAGCCTGATCAAACGGAATCAAGATGACCATGTAAGGTAAACAAACACCGTTGTTGTTTGCAATTCCAGACCTGTACTACCAAATAAATTCAATATTCAAGCATTGATGGAATATCAAAAGAATTTGAGAATGCTATAAAGCATGAATTGACCTTGGTTTTGTAGTCATCTCCACCTGACACAAATAGTGGTTTACTTGGATGAAAGGCAATCCCCCAAACCGGACCTGAAAGTCGCAAGATCAATACACAATCAAACAGCTACTTCATTTATATGAGTTATCAAAGCGAACCATTGTGTTTGTCAAATTGTTTGACTCATGTTACCATCTGAAAGTTCCACATTTGGATACTTCCTGAATGAAGTGATGCTGCTAATAGTAAAAGGGTAAGCTTGGGGTGGAAAGCAATTGATTTGACCCTATTGGACTTGGACTCAAACTAAACCAACAAGGACTGTGAATAAATGGATTGTATTGCAATAGAGACATCTGCTAAGACGGGTGAAGTTGCTTACCTTTGTGAGCATCTGCATCTTGGCTGGACAATTTGAATTAAATTTGATGATGTCTTGTCTAAATCCAGGCGACGAGCCAATCGGAGGAAGGTGACCGAGTTTGATTAAGAGTTGATTCAAAGTGCGACATGGCGGGTGAGCTTACAGCTGGTGGACACGCGGTGCTGATGGCATTTGAAAATGAGTGTACATTGAATAAATTAATGAAGTTTTGATCCATGATGAATGATATGTTGAAGGTTGAGGATTGGATCCATTATGTGAGGTTGTCTGGATTGATGGTGGCAATCAACTGCATTCTTGAAGTAGCCAAGACTGAGATGTCTGTTAATTCGGACGGGAGGAGGGTTTGAAGATAAGAAAGCGGGGTGGAACACGTGCAAGTCAGAAATTCTATGTTGCACGCAAAAACCTGTGAATTGTTAACAGGGTTTGGGAGTTATGGGAGTTTTGCTGCGAACGCGGTTTCACTTTAACTTGAATTATACAACTGGAAGAAATAGACATCATCTATATAAACTTAACATAAGGGGGTTGGAGTCTTAGGTGTACAGCTTATTAAGGGCTTAGGGATTTAATCCAGTTTCGCCAAGAAACTGGGTTGTGCCTTTAGTGTTACGATCATAGGTTTATGTGGCACAATGACACACTAAGTTTATGTTGAGTTGTCATTGAGGCT